ACACAACGTTATGGTATACATAACCATTATAGTTATCTCTATATAGGCTAAGAAAAGTCAATGAGAAAGGCGTTCATTGAGACCCGCGTACCCATCTGAACAATACGATAAGCACAACGTATACTTGTTTTAGACAATAGGTTACAGCATACTCCATTGTCTCTGGCACGGACGAGGGTGACAATCGCCGACTCCTACATCATCCTGGTTGAACAATTCGACCATTGTACGAAGTAGTTTTGCAACTAGGACTAGGTGACGTGTGCTCAACGCTTGGATAAACACCGCTGTGCATGCAGTGTTGAGGGCAGTTTTGTGAGCCTGCGCATTGGAAATATGCGCGTAGTCGCTGCGGGCACTGACCGCTTCATTTTTGACATTGTCGATCTTTCCAACAATGCGAGTATGCAATCTTGCATACTCGCACACCCTTGTTTTTGAACAAGAGGACCACGAACATCAGTTTGGGATTTTGTGCGATCGAAGTGGGACGCAAAACACACAAGTGCCCTCAAGACACGAGCCACAATTAGCAACACTTGTCTCCTGATGTGCCAGTATCCCCCCCCCCCCCCCCAAAACACACACACACGCGCACGCACGCACGCACGCACGCACGCACACACGCGCGCACGCACACACATATATATATCCGGTATGGTGGTTGAGTGGCCGTAGCGTTGCATATAGTCAAGTAGATCCTCCGTGAGCGGTCACAACGTGGTTTATTTCGACGATTCGGCCTAGAGTCTGGCCAGTCTCAGTGCATACGCTGAGTACCCAATCTCAGATGATCGCGTCAAATGTATTTTTATCTCGACTAAAATGTCAAACCGTAAAGTTTCACTGAGAACAGGTTACTGAAACCGGCCCACAACGAATACCAGTGTTTTCGCAAACAGGACGCATCGCGTTATTCACGCTGCTCACACCACGCACAATATTCGGTTTCACCGTCCGTACAGGTGAACTAATATTATCGATGCCCTTCAATGCACGCCACACGCCACAGTCAACACTGCACATTTACGAAGGCGATGCCGCTGTTCCTCGCACAGGCCACCACGTGTGTTCACTTCCCCGAGATAAACAGCCAGCCAGCGTGGCGAATATTTCATCACGCATTTTATCACACACCTAGATTTTCTCTGTCACATACCACATCTAATGTTGCCACTGTGAGATGAAGATTAGGCTTTCAAAAAGAAAGAAAAATTGCCCCAAGCACCAAGCGACTGCACCCCACTCAGCCACCGGCGGGAATGTTTTGCCAGCCACCGCCTTGCACGTGCACCAGTGGCGTCACACTGTGACGTACCCCGGTAGAGGTATACTGAAAGGGGTGCGCGCGTGTGGAGGAAACCCCTGCACGTTAATCATAAATAAAATGATAGTTGTTTCTGATGAAATAACTTACAGAGACCAGTATGGGTGACTTAAATTCTAATCAAATTCGCCTTGGAATTTGATGCTTAAAAATACTAGTATTGGAAGAATGCGCTTTGAGCACTATCTAACCAGAAAAGGTTGCCACGTTAAACTCGCCGGGCGTAACCTCCTTGATTTCAGCAAGGTTCAGCGAGGGTTGGGCCACAGCGTCATGAACTGGTGGTGGTTAAATGTGGGAACCATACACAAACCGCAGGTCGTAAAAACTTGCGCGCATGCCGCTCCTCTAGATCCGGCCGTGTCACCTCTATGTTTAGCCCTTGGAATGTCCGCTGGATGGCGGTACTTCTATATGATGAATATGCGATGAAAAAATGCGAGGCGGAAGTATTTGGAGTGTACACTAGGTGGATGCTTAGATAAAGAGACGCATGAAGATATGTATGGATGGACGGACGAGTGCATGGCAGGACGCACTAACGGATGGACGCACAGATGGATGGACGCATAGACGTACGGATGGACGGAAGCAAGAACGAACGGACGGACCGATGGATGCTTCGCCCCACTCATCATCATGCACTATGTGGATATGCTGTGATTTTTTCTTCGGTGAAATGGACTGGTAACGCATTGTGAGAGCAAGTATGAATGATTAGTGAACAACTGATTTATGAATACTTGTTTTGCTTTGATAAGGTGGTTTGTGATTTTATTTAACGAGGTTTAGCTTGAACAGAGGATGGGGCAAGTGTGAAATTACTGCTCTGGAACGGAAAACGCGCAACTAAAAGGAGAAAAGTGTCCATCGCTCCGCTGTAGTTTAGCGGGCCCACTCGGAGCCAAGCAGGCCGTAAAAACGTCAAAGTAAAACTCCCTATTAACGCGACTGAAAAAAAATCTAGCGAGGGGCACTGGTTCATTTTTTTCTTTATATGGTCACCAGCTTTCCATTGCATTCTTTATAAAATCAAATCAAGATTTTTCAGCGTGACCGCGGCGTAAAGATAAGCGTTGAAAGATTGTTTTCTTTACTTAATCTAAAGTGCGGGCTCGACCTAGCACTCTATATATCTCCCCTTAGATCCCGGCGCACTCGTCATACTCATAGACCTTCTATTTAACTTTTTATTCTTTGCACACACAATCACGGATATTGATAACCTGACCACTTATTGTCTATAGCGCACTCGAGTGCATTTGCATGCAGCTAGCTACCTTGTACCCTGTTTCCTTTTGCACTGTTATATAAAATTGGTTTTATTTCATTTCACTCGTTTATTTGCGTCATTTTTTTCAGTACTCAAAGTCGCCTAATCTCATGAGATTTTTTTTACGCTTGTATGGCCTTCTTTTTAAAAAATCTGTTATTATTATTGCTTCTTTTCCCTTTTTTTTTGTCAATGAGCGTATTATTATTAATGATTTTCCTTTGCTACTCAAACTAGGCACATGATCTGCAGTATTTCCGTAAATAAATAAATAAATAAATAAATAAATAATGTTTTCACTGGCTAATACCAGGAAATGCGGCTCGTGATAAGGGGGCTTCTGATTCATTTCGACGGCTTAGGGTTCTATGACGTGCACCTTAAGGTAAATGCATTAGAGCTCTGTCGAAAGACCATCACCTTGGCTGGGAATCGAACCCGCATCTTCTACATCTCGACCGCTCAACACGTTTGGCAGTGGAGGCGTACCATGGATGTGGAACCGCGAAAAGACGGTGTCTTGTCTGGTGACTAATATTGTGCCAGCCGTCCTATAGCGCTGCTTTCGAATTTCTGCAATTGTTGTTGAAGACGGATTTATTGGCTCAAATACAAAGAGAGTGACGAGGAACACAAGACGCCGACAAGCACGTGCGTTCTTTCTCCTTGTTTCTGTAATTGTGTCGATGTGTTATTAAATATCAGTTATTTACCAACGATAGCCCGACAGCAGCGTTACTGCAATCACTGGTCGCGCATGCTTCTAGGATCGAAGGCAGATGAAAAGAATGTACCGTGCCTGCAGGCTTCGACTTCGGTGTGTTGCTGGCGTTGTTAGTTCATTTCACACAGTATCCGCGTTTGTAGTGTAGCTTCTTCGTAGGCACAATGCGAGCGCAAATGCAGGCCTATTGAGAAAACTTCAGAGCCACCGGGCAGGGGCCGTGGATCGTGCGCCACGCCTTCCTGGATTTGTTGTCTTACCATCCCATTTGCCTTCTCGCTGTCCAACGACAATTTCGTTTTGATTTTACCCTCATTGCCTCAGGCGTGAGACACGGAAGCTATATGATGGCGGGCAGTTAAAAAAATAAGACGCCATTTCAATGCGGGGCTTCCGTGTTCCGCTACACAAGTCAAAAGCTGTATAGCTTATCCACACGCAGCAAGCCAGGGAGGGCTGCCGCAGTCTCTTGCTTTTATTTCGTTTTCACATTAAGCGCAGAAATGTGCCACGCTAAATGCGTCGCTGAAAGCAAGCACACAGTCGGCACAGCAGAGAACATCAACGCACGCAGGTCCGCTCGCTGCGCGGGTTAACAATCACCAGCACTAGTGCCATCTGCGCGCGTGAGCCGTCGCGCGGCTGCACGCAGTCGAGAGTGAGTTAACCATTCATCTCGGACTCACGACTCTCTTATGTGGCACCTCCCTTCCGCCTTCGCAGGATTGAAAAAGAAGAGAAATGTCCGAAGGAAAGAGAAGGAGGGTAGAGGGCAAGGACTGTTCGCCGAGAATCTTGTACGACGTCGGCGGCCTGCAGTGATTTTCTCGTGCCCGACGCTCACTATGGCATAGAAGAAGAAGAAGCAGGAGGGGGGCGGGCAAGCAATGGAAGGGGGTGGTGGGTAACAATGAATCCTCGTTCATCGATGCAGCGGCCAGACGCATGCATCATTGCGAGGCGGCGGCGATGCTTGGCCGCGCACGGCGTGGACTGCCCGCGCCGCTAGCCGGCCCGCCATCGGCCGAGCGCAACCAGCCTGACCGGCGCGCGTTGCCGTCTTCAAGGACTCGCTCTCTATCTGCCTCCTATCTGCGAGAGGCCCTGACAAAGCATATAAAAGAAAATAAAAAGACGTAGGCGAAAGAGAAAGAAAACGAACGAATTCCGAAGCGCGCAAAGAAACGGGAAGTAAGTGAGAGCATGCGCGAGAGAGCGAGAGCCGGTCTCGCCTGTCCTGGACGACTTTCTTTCAGCGCAGCGCGAGTGACCGTAATTACCGTTTCGGGTTGTGCAGTGTGGGCTACAGCGGACTCGCTGGTGCGGATGCCGCGGTGGTGGTGTACAGTGCCAGCCACCTGTAGCGAACCTGCCAGCTGTGTGATGCGTCGGGGGGGTACTTCGGCAGAGCGGGCCGTTTTCTCGCCGAGCAGGTTTGTCCGCCGCGGACGACACCCGCGGCGAAAGTCAAGCGTTGCTGCTGGTGCGTGCGCGTCGTCCACAGCCCTTCATCAGGTCGTCCCCGCCGCGTCGGTCTGATCCTTCTCCCACCGCCTCCTCCTCCACTGTTGCGCCGACCTGGGCAGTCCTTGTCCAGTCGAGTCCTCTTACCGCACCGTCGCTTGCTTACTTTACACTGTGTGTGTGTGTGAGGTGTGTTAGTGCGTATGTGATATCGGATCCACCGGGAAGGGCCAACCACCCGGCATGCCCGCGACGAGCGCCTACGGTGCCGCAGGCTGACGGAAACAAGCATCCCGAGATTTCTTTTTGTGCGCCGCGTCCGATGACGGGATCACTGACGGATTAAGCCCGGCTGCATTGCGTCACAGGCCCGAGGAGGATGCGAGAAAACGTAAGCGCCCCATGTTTTATTCGCCAGCGCGGTCGCAGTTCGCCGTTGTTCGTCGCAGCGGTGTTGTTCTCAAAACGTCAAGATTGTTGAGAGGTTTATAGGAAAGGATGACGACTGGGCTGGCGTCGTTCTCTTTCGACTACTCATAGACTCTAATGGGCTCTGACGTTTTAAACTCTCCCGTCGTTCTTTTCTCTGGCGACAGTGGTGACCTCGATAACGTCGTTGAGCGTTTAGCGCCCATCGATTGTTGGACGGCAAAGGTATCCCTGATTGTTTCGTAGGCGTCTGGAATACTGCGTTACGCGTATGGCATGCTGTCATTTGGAACGCCCCAATGGGCAGCCTGAGCCGACTGGTACGCATTGTTACGGGATGAATTAAATTTACACGCGAAAGAAATGAATGAACAAATTTACCTGCACTCCCTAGTGAATATCTTGAAGATGGTCGCTCGCCCATTCGTCTCGAAGTCATTCCGGTTCTTCGCTGTTACACAAACTGAGACACATGACCAAAAAAAAAAAAAAGCATTCTAGGGACAGTATGTAAAAACATCCTTAGTGAACGTCATTTGCCATGCTGAGCTGACTGACGCAAAGCCCATTCGTAAGCGTTCTTCTTTTGATGTTCAGGATGCATTAAAAAAAGTAACGAAAAGTACATTTCTGAACATATCGATGTCGTTTCTTGTTTGAGTCGCTGAACTGTAGTGCATATCAATATAGTAAGTGATAATGCCACGTCCGCAAAGTTTCCACCGTAGCCGTAATGCCACGTGTTTACACTTCACCTAGATTAAATAGGGACGGTATAGGTAGAACTTAAGTCAACAGTAGCTGTGTGTAAACATATGGACAGTTTGCCCCTGAAGTCATTGTAGCATGCAGCTTCGTAACATATACTGGTTCACCACAATGGCGGCCTTGATGACGTAAAGACAGCCAAACAATATTGCATCTATCCTGCTTCAGTGGGATAACGATGGGGCCAGAATTTTATTGGACTTAGTGCGTAAATAACTAGATAACTTGCAAGCGCTGCGACGATAACATTAACACGTGGCGTCACAAACCTTGCACGTGCGATGTGGTGCATCAACATGGTGATTTCAGTGACGCCAGTGCAACATCAGATAAAAATGTTACAGCATGGCTGCGTCGTCTTGTGCTATGTGCGTACGTTTCAAGTTTATCAACAAAATTGCAAAAAAGAAAAAACATAAATGAAGGCGGGACACTTCCAGGAGACCCAAAAGTTCGGGGAGAGCCCCTCGTCAAAATGGAACAATAGATTTTTTTTTGTAAGCTCAGGAATGGCAGCTTATACAAGTTTGGATTAACTATAGGTTTAGAAATATAATAAATTATTTAAAAAAAAATACATGACAGACCGTATACAGAGACAATGCGAAAATTGAATAAAAGACTAATGTGACCACATCATGCAATGTTGGCACCATTCATGATCCTTCCGTGTACAGTAGTAATTTGTCTGCGGCTGTATAAGCATAAAATGGAGACTAAGGATTAAATCACTGTAATGTAGCATTATGGATATCTGAAATACTCAAGTCAAAGTTTATTTACTTGACAACGTATTTTTACGAATCCTTGAACTTTTGTGACTGGGCTGCAGCATGAATGGGCCTCAGAATGGCATTGAAAGATGAGGGGTAGCGCAGGGTAATGACATCGTCCTTGCAAAAAAAAAAAAAAAAAACTTGACTCTACAGCACGGGTAATGTGATTTACGGGACAGAGAGATGGCATCGTGGAAACTGGAAGCGTGACAAAATATCGGTCATGGTGAGAATGACGGTGGGTAGTCCCTCGCCGTTTTTTTTTTTGTCGTTTTCCAGCATCTTGAACTTGATACGCCCTTGCACACGATATAAACCAGACGAAGGCACACACAATAAACGTACGTGAACATGCTTTATTCCATATCAATTATGCAGCGCAAACTACAAGACGAAGAAATGGAAACAAGAAACTCCTACTCGCAACTGGAGTGTTTATTAAAGAAGCATAACAAGAAAACATAAAATGAAGTGACCCAAACGAACAGCGCTATTGCCGCCATGTGATAATCTTGGCAACATGCGTAATGTAGGCCCGTGTGCTCAAATTGGGAGCAGGTTAAATAACCCCAGGTGGTCGAAATTTGCGAAACTCTCCGCTGTGGCGTCTTTCATAATCATATAGTGGTTTTATGACGCTAAACTCCACATAGTAATTATGCGCAATGGCAAGAAAAGCAAAAAAAAATAAAGAAAAAGAAAAGAACAGCAATCGGTAAAAAAGTTTAACATACTAACACCAGATAGGGAGAAACAGGGTATGAAAAAAAAAGCCATAGGGATCACCTATTTACCCCGTCTCCGAAAAACAGTTTTGTTCGCAATATTTCTTTTGCCATATTTGCGCAGATTGTGCAACCGTGCTCATTCATGCCTTTTTTATATCGAGTGTATACAACCTGTACTGCCTTTAATTAAAATGTCTTTCCCTCATCTTATTCTCCCCCTCTCTCTCTCTGCATTACATGTTCGTCCATGTATTTGTGTAAGAAAAGTGAGTTACTGCGACTGTTCCGTGTATTCTGTCGCCACCACTACTTCTACCTGATGCAATTGGGGGGTGGTGGAAACTTAGTCAAGTGGCCTGTCGCATTTTCCCCCCTCTCTCTTTCCACAACACTGAAAGCAGAGCATGCACCTTGGTTGCTAACCCTAAGATTCTGAACAACAGCTTCGGTATTGTGAGTACGATAACGGATTGGCATCATGAAGACCCGATAGATGCCTCTGAAGATAGCTATAGAAACTGCATAGTGCCATGTTCCCCATTCAGACACAATTGCTCTGAAGGGCATGCCCTCTCTTTGGTTTTTGAATGAAGATTTCTAAGTGAAGACATTTTCGCCTGCTTTACCTATTTAGTTCTGGTGAGGTTAAGTTCATCTAGAAGCCTTAGGGCATTTTCCTTAACTTCTGTAAGGGAAGTCAGCAGAAAATTCTTTTGTGGTCCTTCGGATGCCTTTTCTCTGAGGAGACCCTTGGCTAACACAACGAAAAGTATTTATTTGTCCGAAGTCAAGATTCTAAGCTGGTGAGTAGCGGTGAAATCCACAAGGAGCTGGAGCCGCCTTCGGTATCGATGTTTACAAGAAGAACGACAAAGAACACCGGCACCCTCTTCGATGCACCCGAGTCCTCTGGAACGAAACGAGAAGCAATCCTAGCAGTACATTTCTTTTCGACGAGCGTAGGCGTGGCGTCTAAGCAGAACTTTGGGCTCAGTTGAGGTAACTTTTTGTAACTGTTCGTACTTTGCCTGTGGTTTTGCGCTGCTTTAATTAACATGGGACTACACCAACCCACCTATCGGCCTTGTTACATGCTTTATTGGTCGCTGTAGGAAATCCTGGTTGCTCCAGCCACATTTTCGATGTCCAGAATGTGCTGACGCGTTCCCAAAGCCAATGAAATGCCAGATGGTGCGTTTGGAAAAGCGGTCTAGAGTACTGTGTGTTTAGAAAAAGTTGTTGATGATATAGAGTACATAGTACTCTACAATGGGAGAGCAAAGAGTAGTTCCTTGGACCTCACATTGTGTGTCTTAATGATTGATTGATTTGTGGGGTTTAACGTCCCAAAACCACTATATGATTATGAGAGACGACTTAGTGGAGGGCTCCGGAAATTTCGACCACCTGGGGTTCTTTAACGCGCACCCAAATCTGTGTCTTAAGAAGAGTGTTTAACAATTCAGAGTACTTGGCACTCTACTATGAGAGGGCAGAGAGCCATACCAAGTGAAGTGATGTCAATCCGCAAACAGGAACCAAAGGCTGGTGTATTTCCAAAAAAGTATTCTATGCTTTAGAGTATTGGTACTCTGCTATGGGAGAGCTAAAGGCCGTCCCGCACATGCAACGTGGGAGTGACCAGAAACGCGTCACAGCTGTCGTTAGGATGATTTGTGTTTATAAAAAGTGGTTAACGACTTAGAGTACTCGGTACTCTTCTATGGGAGAGGTGGAAGCCGTCCCCAAGGCTGCTACCAGGTGCGGCAGCTGTGGGTGATGAGATATGTGTTTAGAAAAAGTGGTCAACGATTTTGAGTACTAGGCATTCTACTATGGGAGAGCACAAAGTCGTCTCGTGCGCAGCACATGTGTGTTTAGAAGAAGTGGTTAACGATTTACTGTACTTGGTTCTGTACTATGGGAGAGCTCAAAGCCGTCCATTTGCAGATGCATAGCAGCATGAGACATTAATATTTATGAAAACTTAGAACGAAATCATGGATGCTTCAGTTTACCGTCATCCGTTTCGACCCCTAGAATTCGCCCTGCTTATGCAAGTCCTTGAACAATGTTCCAAATTCTTAGAGCACCGAAAACATTTCGTCAGCGTTTGGTAGTGGATACCTTCTGCGATCAGGCACGTGGTGTTTAGCGTAACGTTGAGGTATATTTCACTGATTTTCGTTCCTATCGAATTCTAATGGCCTACAATTCGACACGCAATAAAAAAAATACTGGCTGATCTCACGTACAGTGAGAGTTGACGATATGCGAAACACGAATAAAAAAGCTTGATATGTCACTTTAAAATCAGCACAACGTTACGAGGTGGAGGTAAATTATGCCGTACATGACTTTCGTGTCATGATTATTGTGTTTGAATGCGTCGTTTACGTTCGTCATCTATTCACGTCACGTGATACCAAATTTAGTATATGTAGAGCTAGCGAAACGGCCACGAGCAAGCTATTAGCGTGGTATGTTGTCATGTTCTTTACATGACACGTGTGTCAGGATTATCATGTTTGCGCCAGTCATATATTTCGTCATACATTGACGTCACGTAACACCGAATTTGGTATATGTGGAGCTATCAAAACGGCCGCGAGCGCATCATGAAGGGCCCAATATACTTCACTGTAGCGTTGACGCACGCGCACGCTGGGCACAGCGACGCTACGTCAGCA